ACCACCCAGAAATTTGTCAGTAATTGTCTGATAATGCAACAATTATTGTAACATGCAGGTTCGGCATTACAAACGTGGTGTCACCATGAAAGTAAATCAATATTTGTCACTGTGTCGTCACTTATAGGGGCAACATGAAGAAAAGAAAGTTATACAAGCGTCTTGTCGGGCTCGCCATTGTGGCCGGTCAATGAACCTGCGATCGTTCTGAGCGCTGTGAAGTACAGGACTCAGGAATGGGGGGGGGGGGGGGAATTATTGATTTTTTTTTTTAAACCTCTACGCACTCGGGGATAGGGGGAGGGCTGGACGCAACACCAGTGGACAAAAAAAGAAAAAGAAACTGGAAGCAAATACGTTTAATGTTTAGAATTTTGATAACTACTACAGCTCTCTGCTAAGTAAAGTGTGCGTGGGTGCAGGCCTTGTGTGAAAACGGCCTTAGTGTTCGCGTTTCATTGGATTGGTGGCAGCATATTTTAGCTTTCTGTACAAGATTCGCAGATTTTCAGTACCACTGCATCTTGCCCTCCAACAGTTCTTACACCTCTAACACTGAATAGGTCTACTTGGGCTATTCTACTGTGCTTTGAGTTAGAGCATTAATTTTTGTCTTTCACGTTTATTATATAGGCCTATATATATGATATGAATCATGACAGTCGATATTCTGGTTCTAGGCTCAAAGCAAGCTTCATTTTTATATATAGTTTATATATACAGGCGAATATGATGAAGGGAAAATATTAATAAGCCGCACAAGACCCCAGGCGCCACCACCTTCTGTACGAAATCAAGATTGTAAATTTGGTGCGTGACTCTTAAGAAAAGATAAGATAAGATACATCTTTATTGTCCAGATCCTGGCACATTGGTTTGGTGTTCCACCACGAATACACACACACACAAACACACACACACACACACACACACGTACACACACAAGTAGGTTTACAATCACATGCATAATATAAATGAGCAGCAATATAAACAATAATAATCGTAAGCTAGATACACACTCAATGTTATTTTGATGCATGCTCTAAGGTCGTAAGTGTACTTATACAAGATGGTTAAGATGGAAGCATTTTGATAGATGATGGTAAAAATGACCTTCTGTATCTTTCTTTGTTACAGATCAGAAGCATGGGTCTTTTACTTCTGACTGATGTTTTTATTTGAGGGAACAAGGGATGTTTGTTGTCTAAAAAGATGGAATTAATTTTCTTAGTGCAAGCTGTTATGTACAATTCATCCAAGTAGGGGAATAAAGATATTGAAATTTTACATGCTTTCCGTATTAGTCGATTTAATTTTTCTTTATCTTGTTGCCTTGTGTTCCCGGCCCATGCTGTTATACAAAAATTGATCATACTTTCTATGGTTGAATGGTAGAACATGGACATCAATGTTTTATCAACTTTAAAATACTTTAGCTTCCTTAGAAAAAATAGTCTTTTGTTCACTTTTTTATGCAGGAGAGAAGTGTGGACACGCCAGTTGAGTTTGTTGTCTATTGTAACACCCAAATACTTATAGTCTGACACTTGCTCGATGTTCTTACTTGAAATTATCTCCCAAACCCTCAAATTGGTGTGAAATAACCTTGCTTTGATAAATTGATGGTTTTAATTTCAGCATTCTAGGGTTCAACAGTTTAATAATAATAATGGGTGTTTCGCGAAAATGGGCTTCTGTGGCGATCACCCGGAAAGTTCCTCCTTTTTTAGAATTCTGAGTTGAGACCCATGTGATTTAAATAAGATGAAATTGGTTTTCAAAATGCTATGATGTCACACCCTTTGGTGCAGAAAAGCAAGCATTAGACCAAATACTATAGAGCTTTTGGGTGTTGACCATAGCTAAAGATGTACTTTTCCATGTTTGATTTTGACTGTCTTCTCTAGTTTTAATATGTCCTGGGTCATTCATTTCTTATTTGCTCTTTTAGCTTTCATATTGTTTTATATCCAATGTGTATGTTGTGTGATTTGTGTGTGTTTAGAGACAGAGAGAACATCGTTGTGAGGCTATGGAGATTTTTGTTTATAATATGTAACTACATGTACAAAGTCATAGTCAAGTCTACTTCTGACAAACTCAACCGATAAAGCTTTCCTCATATCGTTTTATCCAATGTGTATGTTGTGTAATTTGTGTGTGTGTAACATGGTAAGTATTAAATATATTTAGAGGCTATTCACACGTGTATATTATGATGTGTGTGTGTGTGTGTGTGTCTCCCTCTCTCTCTCTGTCTCTCTCTTTCTCCCCCCCCCCTCTCTCTCTCTCCCTCTCTGTTTATGTATTTTTGTGTGTGATTGTAAGTGTGGTGTGTGTAAAGATAGTATTAATGGGTGGTTGGTGGGTGCTCTGGTGTGGTCTGCTCCTTCTCTCCTATTCAATATCTATCATCCTTATCTTTCTCTTCCTTCTTTTTGTGTTTTGTTACTCTCTTATAACACTAACACCTCTAATCTTCGGCACTTATTTAAATTTATTTTGTTGCAAGTGGTAACTCTTTCGAAAACAAAAGATAGTATTAGGTATGAACAGGGCGCTCTGGCGGCAAGCGTAAGTGTATGCGTGGTACCGAAGCTCGATCTACTTTCGCTTTCTTTACCACCCAGAAATTTGCCGGTAGCAGTCTGATTAACGCAACATTTGTAACATACAGGTTGTGCATTACAAACGCTGTGTAGCCAGGAAAATAAATCATTGTCCTGTGCTTTCACTTGCGGAAAATAAAAAGAAAGTTATACAAGCGTCTTATCGGGCTCGACATCGTGACCGGTCAGTGAACCTGTACTTTCGCATCACATTGTGAGTAGCAGTGATCGCATGGGGTCACCAAAGTTCATTCAATGTGTGTGCTGGGCGAAGTATAGGGCTCTGGAATAGGGGGATTATTGATTTTTTTAAAAGGTACAGTCGGGGGGAGGGGTGGGGTTGAAGGCAACATCGGATGACAAAAACTGAACTTGGAAGCAAATTTTAGTATTTAGAATTTTGATTATTACTAGAGCTTCCTGCTACGGAAAAGCGTGCATTGGTGCAAGCCCTGTACGGAATTGGGATCCGTCATACTCATACCTAGTAAGCCGCGTTTTTTTAACCAAAAGGTCCATGTTTCATTGGATGGGTGATAGTCAAGGATCCCCTTGTTTCATTGTCCTTTGTTTTAAGAGAGGTATGACCATATCATTATCAAGAGCATACTTTTTTAATTCTCTCTCTCTCTCTCTCTTCCTTCCTCTCCCTCTCTCTGTTTTCTGAGTCTTGTTCTCTCTCTCTCTCTCTCGTGATAGTATTACATGTTTTGCAAACATCTATATTTTAGCTTTCTGTTCCAGATTCGCAGATTTTCAGTGTCACTTCATTTTGCTCTCCCTTTGGAAAGATGACAGGGGGTAGATTGGGGTCATTTTTGGATTTGATTTACATTCCGCTCACAACACACAAAAAGCGGAGTGAAAAAGGAAAAAGGTCAAGGTCATGAAGGGAGCGACGCAGTTACCGTGCACCTAGCTCAAGCCCCCCCCTCCCCCCGAAACAAAACACCCGGTTACCGTGTTCGTAGATAATGAGAGGCGCCCGGTTGCCGGTTACCGTGCACGTAGATATTGAGACTACGTGCCTGGTTATCGTGTATGTGACATTGAGACTACACGCCCGGTTTCCGGTTACTGTGTACGTAGATATTGAGGCTACGTGCCCGGTTACCGTGTGTGCGACAATGAGACTACACGGTGAAAAAGGAAAAAAGTCAACGTCATGAAGAGAGCGAAGCAGTTACCGTGCGTGCATCTAGCTCAAGCCCCTTTCCGCACCCCCACCCTCCCCCTCACCCCCCGAAACTAAGTACACGGTTACCGTGTACGTAGATATTGAGGCTATGGGCACGGTCACCGTGTATGCGACATTGAGACTACTCGGTGAAAAAGGAAAAAATTAATGTTAACGTCAAGAAGGGAGCAAAGCAGTTACCGTGTACCTAGCTGAAGCCCCCCCCCCCCACGAAACTAAATACCCGCTTACCGTGTTCGTAGATAATGAGAGGCGCCCGGTTGCCAGTTACCATGTTACGTAGATATTGAGGCTACGCGCCCGGTTACCGTGTACGTGACATTGAGACTACACGCCCGGTTGCCGGTTACCGTGTACGTAGACACTGAGGCTACCGTACGTGCCCGGTTACCGTGTATGTAGACACTGAGGCTACGTGCCCGGTTACCGTGTACGTAGACCCTTCCTGAGGCTACGTGCCCGCTTACCGTGTACGTAGACACTCCGTTTTTGCAAAGTTTAATCCCATGCGGCGGCAAACTTCAAAAGTATTTTGCGTCACAGTTCGCGTCTCCAATTCTGACTGGTGTGTGTGTGTGTGTTGGGGGGAGGGGGGGAATGCGGGCGGCGCTGATCGTGGCGTTAGACGCAAAGTCTGTGACGTCACCTACTGGAGTCATTCTCATTCCCACTCCCAGTACCGGTACCGGTGCCGGTACTAGCGGTTCTCGGCACCTGAGAAAGTACCGACACTGGATTTCGCCGGTACCGCCCACCACTAGATCTAGATCTAGATGTAGTATTCACGCACTATTCACACACCCTGTGCGAATAAAATTTCACAATATTTGCAGTATTCACACACCCTGTGCGAATACAATTCCATAGTATTCACACACCCTGTGCGCCACTGTGCGAATTTAAACTAGACTAGAGTCTGGGTTAGGGACCAAAGCGAAACATACCTGAGGCTATGAAAAACGCACATAGGAATTAAACGCGGAAATCTTGACAATCGCCGAGTCTAGATCTAGTAGTAACAGACTACACACTACACTACACTACACAGACACTACTCTGACTACAGTACAGCCATATTCTAGATCCCTAGCCTACAAGAAAAACCCAACCCATAATCTGACCTTAATTCATTCAGTATTCACATTACGCTTCAACCTGATGCAATGCAATCGAACCATAAAATAACTGCTTACCGTAAATGCTTGAAAGCACCTATGACTTGTGCAAGCTTTGAGATTCGACCTGCGCTAGCCATGGTCGCAGCCATTTTCTCGCGCCTGTGGGGAGGCAAACATTTATATTAGTTATAAAAATACTCTTTTTATATATTTCTATATCTACAATATCCTTTATTGACTATAAAAAAGAGTAAAATTTGTATTTTGCTTCTACTTTAATAATTTTGCATTGTTTTTATGCAAACTATGGCTTTTTACTTTTAGTTTGTATGGTGTTTTAGTATTGCTCAATAATATACCCCTATTACGTCAATACACTTTGGCTTCCGTCACAACCAGGGGATCCAGGATAAATTAGAGCCTTTTAACATAATTTTAACAAATTCTACTCCCACACACATAGGAACTGTGGTTGTAGCTAGTAAGAACAGGCACACCGTTCCACGGTGAAATTTAGTTAATTTAAGTGTCAACTAGATCTAACCTTTTAACACATTGGTAGGACTTACTGAGGGATGGATACTTCGAAAATGTTGTCACAGTGTGTCCTGGTGTTCGCAGCAGCAGTTGCGATCGTTTCCTATCAATCTATTGAAGCATCACAAGACACAGAAGAGAATGGCAGCAAAAAAACAGAAAGCACAATATTTTTTCACCATACGTATGAAGAAATGGTCAGTTTGATGTACGAAGTGAATAAAGCGTGTCCAGAAGTTACAAGAATCTACAACCTGAGTGAACCTTCTGTAGAAAAACGCAATCTCACAGTGCTGGAAATCACAGAAAACCCAGGCGTGCATGTTCCAGGTATAACCATTGAAAACATATTTCATTAATCATTTCATCAGCTGCTCTACCATAAGACCTTTTGTCATCAAATTACTGTTCAGTGGTGTTTTTGGATCTTGATTTTTTATTTTTTAAAGACCTTTAACTCACTTGCATCTGGGCCCTTTCACCAGTCACAAACGTTGAAGACTGGCGTTTTTGGGGGTATTTCAATAAATCACGACAACTCTCAGAATTACGCTATTGTAATTATTTTTTGACACAGTAAAGTAACATTCAAGCTTAATCTAATACAAAAAACTAAAGTTGTCTAAGTCTAATACTTTAATTTGTATGATTTTTTAAAAATTGGCATGAATTTGATTTTCCGAAAAATTTCCAGAGAAGTGACAAGTAGAATGAAATTCACTACAACAACAAAAATAAAAGTTCAAAGTGTTCTGGTTTGATTTGTATCCATGTGTGAGTGTTTGATAAAAATATAAAAGCTGGTCTGTGCATTGATTCAGACCCATACACTGAATTACATGAGACAGATGTACGGCACGACGTTGTGATTTCGTTGCGCGAAAAACAACACCGTGCTAGATCTAGCCCTAGAACTACGACTCGGGCCGTGTTCGGGTACATATCCAGGATCCTAACTATTTGACACATCATATTCTGAGATACGAGAACTAGTAAAACGTACAGAAATATAGAAAACGGCGAAATTATGTGATTCTTGTTCATGCGACTTCTTCGACCATTACTACGACGCGACTGTCGGATTACTAACAGCTGTATAGAAAAAAACAAAGCGCGAGTTCCGGTCTGTTCAATCCCAGTTGGGGTCACTGTCCTTCACCTTCAATAACTTAAAAACTACCGGCCCCAGAGATACGAAACAAAGTCTAAGTAGCTCAGGCTTGGCCAAACAAGGGTACGAGGCGGGTCTCGCGATCTGTGCGTGATTTGTAGAGCGAAAAAAAAATTCCAAAGTTGGTCACGCAGGGCTTGTGAGACCCGTCACGAGCGTCGCGGCAGGGGTCATGCAACTGTTGTGTGAGCCGTCTGAAGTGAGTTAAAGGCATTGTATTTTGATGTTTGTCATACATGATGTAGGCTACACTAACAGTCTATATTTTATGCCATTGATCCACACTGGTAATAATACATACTATGAAAATAACCATTTTAATTTAAAATTAAAATCCACATCTGACTCTTTCATTAAGCTCAAACTTAATTTTAAGTGATACTAGAGCTACATGTGGAAAACAGAACGTCTTAGTTGACTTTGACTAGACTGACCTGAACATTATACAGTTAAAATAAAAAGTTTTATCCTACTCTACTTTACTGGAGATACATAATATTCAATAAGGACCATTAAAAAAATTGTAACAATCTAAGTCATAATATAATTGGTCTTAGCAGCGGCTCAGGCACGTTCCTTAACTCTTTCACTACCATGAGCTGTGTTTCACGGCTCTAGTTACCCCCAGCCCTGGTCAGCGAGCCGTGTTTCGCGGCTGTCCACTTACGGCTTCAAAACCACACCTACTTTTGTAATAATCAAATCTGAAATGTTAGGCTGAAGAAGAGATAGGTCATTATTTCCCCTTTATTTCCGTATATAATACATGTGGCTAATGTAAAAAAAATGAACTTGAAAATCTTTAATTTGTCAGACGGTTGGCAGAATCAGAAAGTGGGTCACAGATAAGGCCCGGTCACGATGAGGAAAACCCCCCCGGTAGTGAAAGAGTTAACGACGACTTTGAAGTCAAATTACTTTGGCTTTTCGGAAAAGCGGGTCTATTTCACGCGGAGTTGATTTATTAGATGAAGAACTATCAAAATAGGCTCACTTGATATAATTTTAATGACCAGTTAACTCATTCGTTACGTATTATTTTCGGCTTGTGAACGAATTTTCTTCGGGGCGGCGAATTGAGATTGTGACTAGTGTGCAGTACGCAGGTTTTTGGGACCACAAATTCAAATAAATATCAACATATTATATACAGTGCTTCATCTCTTCCGTATTTTTACTTTCTGTACTTTCTGCCAGTTCCGTACTTGTTCCTCCATCATTATCAACTCCCTCCATAAAAAACTGTCATAGCATAGGACTGCCAAAACTCCGTAGCAAAAGATCCGTACTCGCCTTCGTATCATCTTGTATAAATTACAGATATTTACAGTAATTCTCTTGGCAACAAGTTAAAGAAACCTGCCAGATTGCACATTTCCTGCTGTCAGCCATTATCCGCTATGCCCCATGCATTCATTGCGTGTTGGCCGGCAGTACATTTTTTACCTGCAGATGGATCAAAATCTGGCAAACTTTTTGTGCCAATTTCACTCATTCCTTCTGCCTATCTTCGGATTGTTGCTGCGGCTGGAAAATCTGCGCGTTGATCAAGTTATTTGAGTTGTGATCTTTGACAGAAAATTACCGTCAGAAAGAAACTTTTTTTGCAAATTTTGTCTAGATCTAGAGAAATTATCAATGTGAAGATTCTACGGCACGGGAACGGGATATAAGGGCCACGATGAAAGAAATATGCTAAGACTACTAAAATCAAGAATAATTCGAAGTGGTGTTTCGAAGTTGTGACAGACGACATTCAGACATGAAAATTGTGGAAAAATTAGGGTATACGCTGGGCAACTGTATTGTAAAGGTACATATACAGCCGAACCTGCCCTGACGGCCACCTGTACAAACGGCCACTTTCCACTTTCTCCCTTGCGTTTTTTCTATATAATTTAACTGTATAAAACGGGCACCTGTCCAACGCGGCCGCGGCCACCATATTTTAACACACAGCCCCCACCACACTGAGCAATAACACCTGTCTTAGACGGCCACCATAGTGACTCCATTACGTTTTGTCATAAATTGTGCATTGGCCCCTAGCATTGAGAGCGAGCCGTCATAATTCAATCACCTGTCGTTGTTGTTAGGTAGTCCCTCCAACCGATCATGTTGCGTAGGCCCCTCCCACTGTTGACCAATAGGTAACAAATTTTCAGCTGCCATTGAGGTAAGCGTGTGATCCCTCATGAGTCATAACCTATAAGCCCTGCCCAGAACTCACACAAATCATAAGTGAGATGAGTGGTCACTGTTTACCCAGTCTGTGACAAAGTAACAATGGACGTCAACATGAACTTGAGACAGAAGCGTCGCTCGTTCTCCGAGTGGTGGCGACCCATGTGTTTGTTTTATCATAGCACTTTTGTGGTCCTCCCTGTCTGACACATTTCGTTTTATTGTCACCCTTGTACAAAAGTAGCAATAAAAGGGAAAAAAACAGAAAAAAACCACAGCGAAAACAACAACAATAACAACAACAACAATGCTGCTCTCTTCGGTTAGGACCTCAGAAAGGAAGGGCTTGTTTTCTTCATCTTGATCAGTCCTGCCTAAGACGGCCACCTGTCTTATACGACCACATTTCTCCTTGACAATGGGTGGCCGTCTTACACAGGTTCGACTGTATATATATTCATTATTCCCAGGTTTGCCTTCTATCAATGGTTCGATGACAAATTAATTGAATCATAGTAGCAATGAAATTTGAACCTGCTTTTAAACATTGCCAGCAATGGAAAGATATGTAGGTGAAGAAATCAAACAAGACAGAATGTTTGTGAAAAAAGAAATGTTATGGGTTGTAGGCAATCTCTTCAAACAGGCTCCCAAATGCCATTTTCAGCCCTCTAAAAGCTCTAAATTTCTATTTCTTTGGGGGCTTCGCCAGCTGAACCATCGGGACACTGTCCCTGGACACTGCTGGGGGCCGCAGGCCTTTGCGGCCCCCAGACCCCCTGCAGAATTTTCCTTACTTTTTCAGCTTTAGCTGGTGGAAGCACTGTTACCAAAATGTTCAGTATGATTTAAAGAATACATCTGTAATGTTTATTTGTATAATTTTCAACTTTGGTTCCTATAAGAGGTGATTATGATTCAACACAATTTTGCTTAGATGCAGATAAAATTGAAATTAAAAAATTAATAATCTTTGGTGAAACTCAAAAAATATGTTTGCACCTAGTCAAATGATATATCAAAATAACCATAAATGAAAACCATTATTTTTACATGGATATATGGAGTGGAATAGAATCTAAGGGGGGGGGGGGCTTGCCATAGCGAAGTCACTTTTGCACGCGGCTGCCCACAGCTCGGGCGTAGCGAATGAGTTAAGTGACGTATATAATGTCACTTCTAGATTTCTTACCAAGAGGGGGCTCTGGCATAGTGGATTTACCCCCGTCGGAGATTAAGAGTTAAAAGACTTACATAAAGAAGTAGAGGGGTCTCTCTAAAGGAGAGGATAGAAGACATGATAAAATCCATGAATACTTTTTATCCCCCTGAAAATTTGGTGTTAAAGGAAATTTGTGTTCAGATTTTTTATTTATTTTTGTTTTCAATGTTGAATCATTTTGACAAAAGTGTTGGTCTAGTTTGTCAGAGGGAAATTTTGTTTGTATGATGCATCAGTGGATATCAAAATGAGCATTTCTGTGATGTTTTTAATTTTGATTTTGTGCTCTTCGAAATATGCTGTTAACAGTTGAAGGAAGCGGATATTAAAAATTGTGAAGCTGTCTCTTTGTCAGAGAGGAATGGAGATTGTATAATATCCCCTTTAAGTTATGGATAAACATAAATCTATAGAATACTACTTTCATTGATACCCATGGGAAAATTTGTTTTACATTGTGAATTGGCAACACATATACACCATAACCCATCAATATCACAAAATACACTTCAAATCAATACAGACAATCTCATAAACAGGCCAGTGCTGGTAAGCACTGTGAAGCACCATATTATATTTTTTAACTGCCATTATCGTGTGGAGCATCACAGACATATTTGACAAACTATGAGCCTGAACTCAACTAACCACAAGGCCACTGAGGCCCCCACTTTATGCTTAAATTCTCTAAAAATTTTGGCTAGATTGAAAAATATTAAAACGTTATGGTACTTGTTTTTGTTTCCATATCTTATTAATCTATATATAGATACGCTTAATGAGCTGCTTGCACTGTATGCTTCTCAGGAACCCGAGAATGTTTCTGAGAGTTCTAGTGTCTTCTGGACTAATAATATAGATTGTGAAGTGAATAAAACTTGCTGATGAGCAGGGATATGTGATGTACAAATATCCTGTTTATTTGTATTATTATAATGCTATTCATTATCTAGAAAGCTAGGTTAGTATTTTCATGAATGAAATTTTCTATTTTGAAACAGGTAAACCAGAATTTAAGTATGTTGCCAACATGCATGGCAATGAAGTGGTGGGCAAGGAGATGGTGCTCTACTTTCTGGTGGCTTTGTGCGAGGAATACAAAAGAGGAGACAAGCTGGCCAACTTTATTGTCTCACAAACAAGGGTACATGTTCTGCCCTCAATGAACCCTGACGGATGGCAGAAAGCTTACAAGGAATTGCAAGTTTGTATACTTTGCGTATTTCTTCACTTGAGACTCTGGTTAATGAAATTGTGTAGGCCCCTACTGTCGTTCTAATCCGAGAAAGACTGACAGGCATATATATATAAAGTATTTTTTAAATTTTGAAACGGAAATTGATGTTCGTGTACACATAGTATGTGACTGTTTATATAGGTTTGATTGACAAAGAGCAAATGAGTCACAAAATTTGTGAGAGATTTCATTTCACAGCTGCAACTCTTCTGTAATCTTGGTCAGATTATTTGTCCCTTTTTCACAAAATATGAAATGTGATGTGATAAACTGATCAAAACGTTCTGTGTGCAATGCTTCTCTGATTTATAATTCTCATTTGGTTGTGACGTGTTAATGTAAGAATGCAATCTCTTGTAAAATTGCAGGAGAAAGAAAACTATTTTTTGGTTAGGGAATGATGTACTAAAATGCCAGTGAGGTCAATAAAATCTTCTTTTTTTTTCAGGAAAAGGGTGAGGCTGGTTGGTTGACTGGAAGAGCCAATGCTAATGATGTAGACCTGAATCGTAACTTTCCTGACCTGAATGCACAGATCTATGAAAATGAAAAGAAGCACAAAGGCAGGAACAATCATCTTGTGAAAGTTGAGAACACAATTGCTAATGACAAATCAGTGAGTATTTCAGGTGTTTGTACTGCTTGTTTTCTGGAGTAAATTTCAGTTATTTAAAAAAAATTGTTGTCTTTATGGAGAAACTACTTGTCTATGATGTTTGATATAATCAATGTTTTCTCTGAAAGAGCAGTTTGATTGAGCGACTTTCACTGGAAAGGGACCAGATGGTACTGTCCATATTTCTGTACTATGGTGTCTGCTCAGTTCTTGTCATTGTATATTATGCTGATGTTGAGAATTTTACAAAGTTGCGTTGACTAAAGTGTGCTCTGCTCTGCGCACGGCTGTTCACAAGCAGTGCTTTAGTTCTACCGGCACCCCGCAGCGCCCCAATGCTCAACGTAACTCGAACCAGCCATTACCACCGAGTCAAGAGGTCAGCGCGTGGAATTTTACCTGACTGACAGATTCGCGATGAAAATGTTATTGCAGCAGTTTTCAGCTTTGTTTAACCTGCGACTAAGCCCAAATTACAACTCCAACTGTGCATAAAACCATATCATCTGACATATTTCTTAGAGCAATCATGCAACTAATTAAGACAAAGGAAGATGAGATGACGAAGAAACAAAAGTGGATACATGTTTAAACATTGATAGAGGGTCATGATTTATTTAATTAAATTTGAACATGATAGCTGCGGTCGATTTTGACAATTCTAAGATATTGTGTCAGAAATTTAGTAAAGTTTCAAACTCACTTGGCTGCATCTGTGTGTCGTTGCCTAAAGCAAAGATATTAAGTCTTAAGTGGAGATTCACAGCTTTTCGCAATATGTCCCCAGTTCCCATTGTCGGCTTAGTGACGACTCTTGATTAAAACGTATCACTCTTGGATTGCGGGTATCACCAGTCAGGATGTCAGCACTTATAACTGCATTTAAGTCTACTGTCACAATATTGGTAAACACACTATATGATTATTATTACATTTTAAGAGGTGCTAGATCTAGATTTGAAACAAAACACACATACAAAAATCTTGTGAACACTGAGCAAAAGACGTCTATATCATTTTTAAAAAGAAAAAAATCGCAGAAAAACGAGACAAAGTTGAAACTTACACCATTTGTACAGTATACTTCTCCCTACTAGATTTGTAAAAAAGATTGGAAACTGATGGTGAATTTACCAAGTTATTGGAGTTTAAATTCAAATAGCACTGAAAAATGAATCCGACTCGATAGAAACACGTCTTGGGGAACATCTATGTAATTTTTTAAAAACTAATTAAAAATCACAGAAAAACGACACTAAGTTAAAACTTGCACAATTTGTACAGTATACCTATCCCTGCTAGATTTTGAAAAAAAATTGAAACTGAGAGTGATTTAACAAAGTTATTGGCGTTTAAATTCAAATAACACTGAAAAAGGAATCTGATTAGATAGAAACACGTCTTGGAGAACGTAGTTCGATAAAATCAAGGTTGTGAACTGAGATCGACCAAAGTTATATCGTCTTGTTGGGGGAAAGCTGAGCTTTAAAATGGTGGGCCATATGACGATATCACATCTTTAGATCTGGAGATATCGGGGTGGGAATGACACCATAATTTGGAGGAAATGCATTACGTGGGCAGGCGGGGGCCTGCCGCTGGCGTCACGGTAGTGAGCACGGCTGACCGTTGATGACCAACACATGGGTGGCACTGACCGCTGGCACGGAGCAAATAAAGGAGCGGTTTCCGGACGAGTTGAACAACCGTGTGCGGTTCCTGTAGACTTATGAGCTTCTGGTTGGTGTGAGTTTTATCTCCTTGAGTTGTCTCATCCTGTTCATTTGTTAAAACTGCATTGAACAAACTTGCTTAACTCATTGATGACGCAAGTTTTTCTCCAAAAATGTCCCCGGAGACGCACATTTCTTACCTATTTTTAAAAAATCAGTGTGATAAACCTATCAACTGTACTCTGTCCTCAGAGAAAGTTGCATTTGAAAATAGCAAAAGTTGCAAAAAGTTGCTAGAAAAATCAACAAAAGTTGCAAGAAAAGTTGCAAGACGTGTATAGCTTAAATGACGCAAAGTGGCTGTCGTGGCACAAATTGATCGCGCCCGACTCTTTGCTTCAAAAACAAACGCGGTGTTGTTTACAGGCAACGAGTCGGGCGATCATCCCGACCCGATCTCTTCCACGTAGTGCAAAGTACAAAGGAAGTGGTAGATCTAATTTCAGGTACGAATTGTCCAGGATTTGTCCCCCTTCTCGTCTTTATTTTTAGTTGGGAAAGAAAATTTCGGTTATTTTTACCGAAATTAAATTATTTGTCCAACTTTTGCAGAAAATTGCCTAAAATTCGCGAATTCACGAAAATGGCAAAAAGTTGCGCAATTTGCGCTGAGACCAAAAGTTGCGTGCGCAACTTGCGGGTTGCGCGCGCGAATTTCTCTGAGGACAGGTAGGCCTACTGGTATAAAATTTGGCACAAAGTAAGATCATCATGTATACTAACATAAAATGTATTTATTTTTACAAAAACTTAGAAAAAATTATGTTTTATGTAAAAAAAAAAATTATATGTAAACGTGGAAAAAACTTTTTTTTATGAGCTAAGCATATGGATCTCAGAATTGATTGTAGTCAATTAGAATGGTTTCAAACAAGTAATACAAAGTGATATTATCTCTAAGAATAGTGACATTGCCAGGAGCATTGTAGTCTTCTGAATCAATAATCCCTAGCGCTTCGTTTGTAGTGAAAGGAGCTTCCAGCAGCTCTCTGTTTCTTGTTTACGTAAAAAGTAGGTCAAGTCTGTGTGTTTCGGCAGATTGCTAATAGTAGATAATTCGGGTGACCAATGATCAAAGGGATACAACCACAATAAAGTTAAATGGTTTAACTAACACTGGGAGTCATTCCCCTTGAGATTCTATTAGTTTTTAGGTACAAAAAAAATGGTACAAGTTGTCGGGTCCCGGGACTCGGCGCGTCTTCAGAGTTTGTTGACCTCCCCGGGACCCGGCACATGGTCAATGAGTTAATTTATATGTTTTCTGTACTTTTTTGTCCAATTGAATTAATTGAATATTGCAGGAAAATTTTTAATTTTTTATCGTATGTACTTACAGCTTCAACCTGAAACACGAGCAGTAATGAGATGGTTTGCAGAGATTGGATTTGTGCTATCTTCCAACTTGCACGGTGGAGATCTAGTGGCCAACTATCCCTATGATGAGACAAGATCTGGCAAAATGCAGGAGTACACAGCATGCCCTGATGATCACACATTTGTGTGAGTGTCTTGGAAATATCTTTTTCAATAAAATTAATGGAATTCATATGCAAAGATCATCATGTTTTTAATAATATAATAACTTCAACGTCCACATATGATTAGTTTGCCCTCTTTTTTGATTGGTTGCCAAGTTTCTTTCATAGAGACCTAGTACCTCTAAATTTAACTCAAGGAAAAAAAAGTATAATGAAAATTCAAAGAGTCTGAGAATAGACTACAAATGTTGTAGGAGAAAAGGAATGACATTAAAAAAAGGTCCAGACCAAGTTTTACACCCCTCCATATCAAAATGTTTTTGTGGACAATACAGTTCACGCCGGCTTTAAGCACGGTCATCGAGAGAAAGCTGAAGCGCGCTTAATGCCGAAGCGTGCTTGAGTGCGAAGTATATAATCCAGAGATTTTCATGTAGAAAAATTCCTGTGCTATTTCCCTTAGGAAGTAAGCCTATTCTATAAAGAGTGCACTGTTATTTTTATCCGCCATGGTAGTTTTCATATGTTTGTTTGTTTGTTTTGTTTTGTGGTCGAATGGGAAATGAAAACTTAATTTAGACGGCCAGTCACGATACAGCCGCTGTGCCACATTCATACCACTGCCTTCACTCCCCCAAACACGGTCTTTGATCCCACCTCGTGCGTGATACCAAATCAGGATTATCGGAGAGCAAGGGGGCAATAAGGTGAAATCGCAGCCTTCCTCCTATTCTCGTCTCCCCGACCCTCTTTGTATTTTTTCTTGTCTGTGTGTAGCTTTGCCCTAGGCTAGATCCTATCTCCACGTGCGGCTGTGTGCATCTCTCTGCCTTCCTTTCTGCGCATGTGTGTGTGTCCATCACTTGCGCTGTTTTTGTTTCTCTTAACACACTCACTGCTGAGGTGTAGACTGTTCAAACTTCGATGGGTCATCATAAAAGTATTGACTGTCTTGTAAATGAAGCGTGCCTGAAGCCGAAGTTACCGTGCTTAAAGGCGTGTAATTTATATTGCAAAAATTCAGTAAGAGCCGTTTAGCGTGCTTGAGTCCAAAACGTGCTTTATGCCGGCGTGCTTAAAGCCGGCGTAGACTGTATTGTCTCTCCGAATATTTGTCAAGTGTTCTTGAGGTTTGTTTCTAAGATTTTGGCATCTGTTGTCCCAGGTATCTGGCAAAGTCTTATGCATACTTTCATGCTACTATGGCTGACCCGGAACGTCCACCTTGTGACAAAGATGGGGACAACAAACCAATCACTAACGGTGGGCTGTGGTACTCTGTGGCCAGAGGTGAGTTTGGTTATTTGTTGCAATGAAAGTAAAAGTGAGTGTTTGCTTTTGATTTTTTTTAACACATTTTATTAAGCTCTATTTAAATTTGTGGTCAACGAAAAAAGGAAACCAGTTCCATAATTCTGTTGCTTGCTCAAATTCATTATTTGAAAGATTCTGAGTGTGGAAGTGGAGATGGCCTTAAGTAATGAATTGAGTTTTCTTGTCTTACTGATATCTGAGAGTGGTCAGGATCAAGTTCTCCTGACTCCTGACATGAAAATTACACTTTTTTTTGTATCAATGGCTTGACTGAAAGCTGAAGCTGAATGAACAGCTCAGTTTAGAACGATTTTGTCACAAGACTGATAAACCAGGTCGTATGTTGGTTGCTTTAGCTACATACAGTTGAAACTGCTCTAACAGCCACCTAAGAGTCACCTGTACAAATGACCACATCCCACTTCATCCCTCACATTTTTTCTTTATAACAATGACACCATCTAAGAAGTCCACCTGTCTAAGACAATCACATTTCTCCTTCACTGTTGGTGACTGTCCTTAACAATTTCATCTGTATTTTCTTTTGACTCTCTGACTATGGTTCCCGTCACTGGTACGGGACAGGCAGGCGGTCCATACCCCCAACGGGATGGACTTTGCGGTTTTGTTCCGAAACTTGTCCTCCCATCACATGTACGGGAACGGACTCCAGTGCTAGTTTTACCACTTCTTTCGTTTCGTGCCGAGTTTGGCAGAAGTTGCATGGTAATTTTTAAGTAATTGAAGGTGAAGGACAGTCACCCCAACTGGGGTTGAACTAACCCGAACTGGTGCTATGTTTTTTTCTATACAGTTGATAGTAATTTGACAGTCACGTCGAAGTAACGGTTGAAGAAGCTGCATGAACAAGAATCACATAATTTCACTGTTTTCGATACATCTTTTTGTTTTACTAGTTCTAGTGACTCAGAACATGATGTGTCTGATGGATATGTACCCGAACATCGCCCGAGTTGTAGTTTAAGGGCTAGATCTAGCACTAGTACTGGTGCTGTTGTAAGCGCAACAAAATCACAACTTCGTGTCCTACATTTTTCTCATGTAATTCAGTGTATTATGAGTCTGAATTAATGCGCAGCCCAGCTTTTATATTTTCACTAAAAACTCGCACATGCATACAGATCAAAACAGAGCACTTCGAACTTTTATTTTTGTTGTTGTTGTGAATTTTATTCTGTCTGTCACGTCTCTGGAAATTTTTCTTAAAATCAAATTCATGCCATTTAAACAAAAATCTTTAAAATTAAAGTATTAGACTTAGACAATGTTATATTTTTGTATTAGATTAAGCTTGAATGTAACTTTATTGTGTCATAAACTAATTACAATAGGGTAATTCTGAGAGTTGTGGTGGTGTTTTGAAATACTCCTAAAAACGGCAGTATTCAGCACTAGTGACTGGCAGTAGTCAGTGAGTTAAAGTAGTTTTTGTGTCTGCTATTGCTAATTTTATTTGAATCCTCTTTTTCAGGTATGCAAGATTATAACTACCTGAACACTAATTGCTTTGAGATTACTCTTGAACTGGGATGCAAGAAATTTCCGGCAGCTTCAGAGCTCGAGAAATATTGGTTGGACAATGCTGCAGCTATATACAACTATGTCCTACAGGTATGCCAAACTTGATTGTATGAATGTATGAAAATGCTTGTGTTATTTTGGGTTGTTTTTTAATTTTTTGAGAGGCTTGCAAACTTCAGGCTTAATGACTTGTTGAGTTTTGAAATGGCTCAAGGATAGAATCAAATGTGAGGCAGCATAATTAAAACAGGAGGTCGTCAAAATACTTAAATTTACGAAAACAGCATTTTTCGCTCTTTTGGCAACTTTTATCTAATTTTGGTTTTTTGGCTCACCTTTTATGTCCATTTAAAAACACATTCCTGTATGGATTTTACTGATAAATATTGATTAAAGGTACAAAAAATGTAATTTGGTAGCTACCAGGCACTCTCTTTGGAAGTCACCCAACTTTGGCAGCACTTTCTTGCTAATGTTACCTCTGAAACCAGGCAACCCCCACCCCACACCCCACTTCCTTCAATCGTATATATTTCAACTTTAATTTAACAGTGTGCCATCACAAAACTCATGATATTAAATCCCTTGCCATCAAAGGCAAAGGCATTTTGGGGAAATTTCAAAGAAACTAGGGCGTAAACATCACCGATCGACGAGATGTGACGGCAAAGTGTTAAGATAGGTGAGAATTACTTTATCGAAAGCAAAACAGATGTACAAGCTTTAAGATGATACCATAACTCCTCATGTCAAAAAATCGACAAGCGCCTGATTCCACTGTGTTATGACACATCTATTTATCATAAACGTTTTGTCATTCCGTTTTTCCATCATCCCAGGCCAGAGTACGTTACCTGGTTCCCACTTTGCTTTCCCAATTGTTTCTGTTTCTTTATACTGTAATTATATTTCAGATGAAGGAGAGGTTGCTTCTGTCTTTTTTCAGTTTGGCCATTGTACTTTTAATCTACTTATTGACACCTTATTTCCCTCCACCATTCTTACACTAGTGCTTTATTGTAATCTTCATATTCATCTAAAGGAATTTTTAAAAACAATATCTAAATTGAATTGGGTTTTATTTTTAATGTTTCAGACTCACATTGGTGTTAAAGGATTTGTCAAGTCAGTGGATGATACACCAATTGCTAACGCTGAAATCAAAGTTCGCAGCTTGGCCACTGGATTTCCTATTGACCACGATATCGTCTCTCGTATGTTATTAAAAAATAAACATTTTAAAAAAATTTATTGCAAGCAGCATTGAAAAACATGGTTCAGGTGATCTTATTTCATGCATATATATATATATATATATATATATATATATATAAATGGTATTTGGTTGTGGTTTAGGAATAATTTGTAATTTGTAGTTTGTACGTGAAACAAAAGTCCTCCCTGAATTACTAAATCTTTGTACAGTTTCAAGATATGTGTACAATTCCAAGTACATTTTTGAAGTTCTGAGAGTGCCTGAAACAATGACTTACGTGGCTTACTTGTATTGTTGGTTAAGCATATAGCTGAAAGTAGGTGTCTAGAAAATGTCAGAATAGTTGTATGTTACTAAATGTTGACATTGCTTGGTTTTCAGTTTATTTGTAAAACGGTGTTTGTCCTCCATGTTTTTAATTTATTGTTTTTTTATTCAATAACGGAGACAGTCTTCTCTCTAAATTTGTAGCTGGTAAAATTAGTAGTGAGTTTTAAAAGTGGCAAAGGTCTAGTCGAGGTCTTCATTGTGAACTTACTTGATCAACTACAAGTACTGCTCACATTTGGGTTTTCCTCTCTCTGTGGTGCGAACATGTGGCAGACATGCCATCTTGCGTGAAAGATTTTTAGCTTATTTTAAGAAGGGAGATGAGGACAGATCATAGTTATAATCAGTAGCTTATTATAGTGTGTTAATGCTTTCATACTAATCACTGTGCATTCTTCAAAATTAATGCAAATTAGGTCTTTTACTAGCTTACTGCAAGGCTACTTAATTAGCTACTAAATATTTTAGCTGCATTTATATAAGAGTTACTCTATGTTTATACATTCTTACAGTTGAAGATGGAGATTACTACCGACTCCTCGGCAATGGCTATTACCACATCCAGGCTAAGGCTGAGGGCTTCCACCCCAGGTCAAAGTGTATCCGTATTGAAAACAACATCCATGTTGGTGTCCCTAGCTACGATCTTCGCCCTGCTACACAGATGAACTTCACCCTGAACCCAACTAAACTTCCTCAGCAGAGTGATAAAAAAGAAGATTATAACTGTGAAAGACTTTGGAATGAAGTGCAGATGGAGGTAATCATCACATGTATAGCTCTTTTCTGTAGTGATCAGATACTTTCCAATAATTTGTTTGCTAGCAAATTTGTTTTTTGTTTTTTGTTTTCTTTTTCGAGTGTGTTCTTTTTGTCCCAGATGATAGAGGCATTATGTATGAACGTGGAATGTTTAGCTTATATATTTTATAAATAAGCCTTTGAACTGATATAAATGTATAGAAGATTAGTGAAACAGAGGTGCGCAATATTGCAATTCTAAAACTCACACATTGGAAAAGAGCCACAACTTCAAATCTTTTCTTCCAAAACAACTTATCTTTTGAGGTTATCAGAGCAATAAATGTTTTAGTTCAAGCAATTGGGATAATTTACAGCCATCAAAATTTTTACATGTTATTTCTAAACTTAACAGGACTAAACTTGACTTTGACTCCAAGCCGATAGGACTGACCTTTTGTACCACTTCAAACAGAATTTGTTTCTCAGTTTTATTTCCTGGATGTTTGTTGTGTACTGTAATTCTTTTCCCTAGATATTCAATTTTCTTTTTGATAAAATAAGGGTATTGGACAGTCGGTAGTATTTTGCCCTGTTATAGATATCGGTCATGGAAAGTTGGCAAGAGAAGCTTTCATTTAGAAAATCATCATAAACTAATTTGTATTCAAAATATGCACTTGGACAACTTTCATTGTAAGATTTCCAGCAGCCCTCATTGCTTCTGTTCTCTCAGGGCTTCAGTGGCCGAGTGGTTAGGGAGTTCAAGTTCGTATTAACTCACTGGAGACTGGGCCTTCATGCACAGAAGACTGGCATTTTTGGGGGTATTTCAACATTTCAAACAACATCCTTTCCAAAGACATACAACCACCATTTTTACACACATAACGGGTCTAAACATGCCCAATATTTGTTTTTGTTCTAAAAGAATAACTTTTATGGTTTTTTAGAAATGATTTTTTGAAAATGTGCTAAAAATTTTTTACTTAATGTCTTGTGTAAACACACACACACCCCCCCACCCCACCCCCCCCCCGAAAAATTAACATTACACCCTAAGGGCCTGGACGGGAAGTCCATTGTTAGATCCTAAGCAAGGGAAAAGAACCCACCTCCTGTGAATACTAGCCTTTAAAAAACACATTTTAAAAATACTAAACAAATTCCAAAAATCCTGAAAAAATAAAAGTGAAAAAGAAAGATGAATGTAGTTTCAGAAAAATATAACTTTATGTACGGGCAAACTGTTGGAAATGTTCTAACTTTAGTTTAATCGGGGTGTCTGACCCGTCACTCTCACTCTCAGCCTCGCTGTCATTCCCTAGATCTAAATTCTAGATTTTCTACGTCTGATCAATCTGAATTGCCCCAAACTTTTGCTACGTTTTCATCAAAATCTGAGTCATCTGATTTGTCATATGCTTGTTTTTGCTCAAATCCATCGTTATTTCCTTTTTCGAACTGAATTGTGTCACTTTTTAACTAGTCGAGACACCTTCGAAGTGTCGGTAAGGCGATCACACTTCGATCAGCTCTAATACTAAAACTACTGGCCCGAAAAATTTTGTTTCGTTATGAAATGAAAGAAGAATATTTTTGCAAAAACTGTACAAATCAAAATCTCGGCCCCAGAGTCTCGTCAAGGCGAGAGTTCGTTTCTAAAGGCGCTAGGTCGGCGCGGGCGGTTCCGGGCGAGTCAGGGTGGAGCGCGTAAGGGAATTCCCGGGTGAGTTAGGGTGTAATGGGTTAACCTTGTGTGTGTCTTTTATTGTGTTTCAAAATGAATAAAAAGTCCAAACTCATGAATCAATATGGTAATCATTATGCATTAGCTGTACAGTTCTCCAGACAAAGCGGAATTTTGCTTTTGAAAGCCTAGTCTAGATCTAGAACACTCTCTGTCAGAATTAGTGCTTTGGTGCTCATTTACATTGAAATCAGGATCCCCATGGTCTAAAATATCAAAATCATAATTTTCTGAACTGTCAACGTCATCAAACACTTGAAAAATGTTAGCTTTTTTGTTCTGCCACGTGGGTGGTTGGCGGGTGCTCTGGTGTGGTTTGCTCCTCCTTTCCTATCAAACAACTCTCGTCCTAATCTCTCCTTCTTTTTTTGAGTTTGTTACTCTTTTGTAACACCTAATCTTTGGCACTTATATGATCTTATTGTGTTGCAAGTGCTATATACTCTTACGAAACCTAACCTAAATGTGCTGCCATCATATTGACAAAGTGTTGCGAGAACAGACATGTCAGAGAAACGAAAGTAGGGCCTCAGTGTGACTAACTTTCCGTCCGTGTTGATATCTCAAAATGTTTCCAGCCGATTCCGGTGAGACTTCGCACGAAACGAAACAAAGGTCGGCTACACCGTAAGAGATGGTTCACGCAGCGTTTTCGCGCATACTTTGCCGAGGAAAAAACGCGAAATTCGTGCTTGCAGGGGGTGCGTGAACCGCCTCTAGGGGAAATATTGGTGCTTGCAAATGCTTTGTGAAACGTCTCCAGTAAGTTAATGTCAAGCATAAGTCTATTAAACAGGGTTAAATTACATGGTCATTAGGGTGTGTCCTTGAGCAAGTCACAAAAACCCAAGCTCTAAAAAAGTGCTCGGCGCAGTTGCGAGCAGCAATTGTGAGTTTGTAAAATTGTCTGTATTGGTGTGACATTGTGTATTTGGTAACTTTGATTCTTTGAATACATTTATATATTTTTGTGTTTGAGTATGTGTATGTATTATGTACATACTTGTTCGTTTGTGTGTTTGAGTATGTTATATATATTTTGAATACATTTATATATTTTTGTGTTTGAGTATGTGTATGTATTATGTACATACTTGTTCGTTTGTGTGTTTGAGTATGTTATATAATATACATATATATATATGTATATATATGTATATGTATAATGTGTATATGTATAGTGTGTATGTTCGTTCTTACATACGTTTTCTGTATATGTACTTACATACATTCACCTGCTATCTGTGTATATACATACATATGTACTTATGCCATTGTAACCCAATTTTTTCCAGAGTTACGAATAAAGTGGAATTTATTTCTTCATTTCAGACTCAACTGGAGGACCGTGAGCTTCTGGTGTCCGTGCTGAGCTACCTACAGCCTCAGACCAAGTGGTCTCTGTTGGCCGACCAGTTGTCTACCCTTGAGCTCTACTCTCTGCTCGCCGAGGCCCTGAAGGAACTCAACCCAGACCAGATGAGGGAGGTTCTGGAGAGACTGCCACACGCTGTCCAGGAGCAGTTGGAGCTGGTCATCTCTGCCCATATGTCCAAGTAACTCGGTCCTGGTGGGCTTAGTGTGGTCATGGTGGACCATAATATGTTAAATTAACTCTATCCTGGTGGGCTCAGTTTAGTCATTTCGGCCCCATATGTTGAATTAACTCTATCGTGATGGGCTCAGTTTAGTCATTTCGACCCCATATGTTGAATTAACTCTATCCTGGTGGGCTTTGTGTTGTCATGGTGGACCATATGTTGAATTAACTCTATCCCAATGGATTCAGTTTAGTCATCTTGACCCTCGTGTTCAATTGACTCTATCCTAGCGGGCATCAGTCACGTCACTACGTCCCTAGTCAGTGAAGGTTTTTGTGAGACAGTTTATTTGAAATGAAGTTTAGAGGTGTATTAACCTTTCCATGAAATGCTATAAAAGTTTAAAGAGAGCAAAAATTGACCTTAGTGTTTTGTTTAATTTAAGTGCTCGCTTTTTACTCCTGAAAAGAAAACTTTATTTAAGAAATGTAGAGACATAAATTTTTGTGTCAAATTTGGGAATTGGACTGTCAGTGCTCCTGTAGTAATGGAACTAATGAATTAATTGAAATGTTTTGGGGGTGTTTGGGAAGGGTTCATGCGAGATTCCCTCATGAGTGTTGACAAAATTAATTGATGACAAATTCCAAATGTGCTTATATTTATTTACCTCCAACTGTATGGTGTAGAGTAACAAATCAGCATTCCTCTCAGTTTACCCAGTGTTGATGATCTGGTTTTTCCGTCACTTTTTAACTTTTACAACATTCCTTTTAATTTACAAAACAATCATGATCTGGCTTTAACTCTTAAGTAAAGGAGATTTTGTTAACAAATCTTCACTGTTGCAGGTAATCGAAGCCTTTAAAAGTGAATTTGTTTTGACCCAAGAGTTTTACCTAACAATGAGTACATTTCTCATGTAGTCTGATAAATATGAGTTTCCTTAATTGATTACTTAATATTTAATATTTTATGTGCCAGATACAGTTGGTCACTGTTTTAGTCAATCAAAATGCTGCATCTTGTGGAACAAAAATATGGAAATGTTTGTGGAGACTTTTTTCTTCATGAAAGTTGTTTTTAAAATTGACTTGTCCCACCTAGTATGATCACCATTACTACTTAACGCTATGTTGTGATACACAGTCCCTGATGTTGTGATTGATGGTTTTATGGACTTTTATGTCGTATTTTGTCATATTCTTTTTTTGGGATGACATATTTTTATCAAATGTTTACTTACAAAATCAAAATGTGGTTAATGTCTTCATTCATCAGAGTAATCACTAAGGTTAAATGGGTCAACATCCAAATCTCCCACCTTTTACATAACTAATTTTAACTCGTTACTTAGCTCTGTTGAGTCTGTTGCTGTGTTTCTCTGTACATGCTCCTTACTGGATGCATCACGGGTACATCTTCAAGATTCAGTTGAAATGTCATTTCTTCATTTGTTCTTGTGAAATCTACAGAAAGCTTCAATCTTGTTTATTAGGGGGAAATTTTTATTTTGGTCTAGTCACGAAAAAAAAGCATTGAAATTCTAACAGAAAGGAGGGGTTCAGTATATTAAAAAATACACAGTATGATTTATTTTCCAATTTAAGAAAATCTGCTCTATAATGCTCTGTCTCTGCTGTTAGTCTAAAGATATTATTGTCGTTATATTGTTAATATTGATCCTTATTTGACTCTTAATTTAAGCAAATTACAAGGGGGTTTTGGGGGCATCTTTCAAAGTTCACATACACTTATGTGTTGTTTTTTTTTCTAAATTTTCATGTTATTTAACAAAAGAAATGGTTAGTGATTTTTTCTTTGATTCATCTGTATTTGGAACAGTATCTCAACTACAGTGGAGTCCGCTCAAACTGAACACACTTTATCCAGAAATAGCGGTTAAGTAAAAGAAAAGAAAATCACCAATTATTTTTTTTCTGTCTTTGTAAAAAAAACTATCAATTAGCAGAAATACCAGTAGCGCTATTTCTAAACTGGAAAGAATTTCATGGGTTGTGTTGACTAAATCTTCACTTGTAACCCTCAGGCAAGGCAAACCATCAAGTCTTATAGACTTTAAGAACATGAAACAGAAGACAGAGGCACAAGAACTCAAGTGTGTCGATTACATGCAGGTCAGAGAAAGGCATGCCATTGTACTTTTTGCCTTCACTTACAACATACATCATTGGGCCTGCTCACTGTATATAGGTCTAGTGAAGCAAGGATAACGAATGTTCATCTGTCAAGCGACCTTGGGTTGATTATGGCCTATTGTCTCTGCAAAATTAGTTCACAAAACCCAACTCTTAAGCAGGTGACTGCATCCGAAGTATTTCATGAAGTCACTGGCTTTGGGTTTTCTATTCCGTTGATTAGTGCAGAGCACAGAACAGTGTGCTCATCTACTTTTTTACCTGTTCTGTGTGACAGTTTGGCAGGTTGAGCAAGCTGACAATGTCGATGAGAAAGCACAATGTATACAGCCTGCATCTCAAATTGCAGTTTCTAAATGAGGTAGATAAGAAAAAATGTTCGCACAGTAAAATTTTCCGCAAGCATGGCATTCCTAACTCTATGCTGTCAACAATCACTGCTATCTGAGCAACCCACTCTAAGCTGAAACCACAGCTAAACCAAAGAAAATCTGGTTTTCCTGCAGATTTCGGTTTCAGCAGACTCCACTGTGCTGTATCTTGGTTTAATTATTCCCACAAATTGCACAAATCTGAATTTGAAAAAAAAAAAGATAGTTTAGCCTTCAACACACTTTTTTTCTCTTGCAAGTAGTGTGATTATGGACAGGATCCATGCAAGATAAAGAAAATTAAGATTTTAAAAAGCCACATTGTATTCACAATATGTAGATCCTTGTTATGTTCTGTGATCTCTTTCAGATGTGCAATAACACAAGTTATTTTATTATATTGTTATGTGATATATATGATTTACAAATCAAGTACGTGTAGGGAGGGTTTCTATTGTATTGTAACTAAACATTGGACTCGTGCATGTACATGTAAGGACAATCCATTTAAAGCCAGAAAGTTTACTTTCAGTTTTAGCTTTTTTAAACCAATTCTGCGATTTTATTCTCAAACTATGGTTGGTTTGAGGATATATTTACAGCGTAGGTTCATTGAAATCCAAATTAGAACTCATTGTCTGGTTTCCCTCCACTTCAAAATCTGTTTTCTAAACAGGCAATTTACATGGGAGTAACATTTTAATGAAGTTGACAGTTGAATGGACCAACTCTAATATTTCTTTTTGGACTTGTATTTTGTGTTTTAGTTTTACTGCGTCTTATACATTAATTGTTATTCTGTTCTGTGTATCTTATACTTATTGCACAGTACTACACATTTTTTGTGGTGCCCAGTACTTATTTTCCTCAAAGTTTGTCATATAATTTATAATGAGTAGCCATGTGAAATCTTTGAGAATATATTACAAGTATTATGTTTCCAAACTAACTACAAAATTTATTTTGTGCCAAATAGTCATCTCTTTTTAATCTGTTTTCAAAAAGAATTATTACCATTAATACTAATTCCGTCTTTCCCTCAGGTTTATTTATTGTTCTGAATTATTACCAACCTTTAGACGCTTTTAATCCTATTTCTCAGTCTGTTCCACTTCCTTTGCCCAAATCTTAACACAATTTTCTTTTCCTTTTTATGAAAAATTCCAATAGAAAACATTCCCATTTGAGAAAGAAAACATGTTTTATCTGTCACGTCTCAAGTGACTTCTGCATTATAATGAATCAGTTCTACAAAATTGGTTTTTCAATGTTGTGGTGACAATTTGTGGTGAAAATCTGTGTTTAAAACAAATAAAATATTTGTAGTTCCCAAATCACGGCAATCTGAAACTTATGAAAAATAAAAGTAGTGCAAAGTATTTACTGAGTTTTGTGTTATCTGTGTTCCCACCTCAGTTGACTAGGTTTGAAAACTTTACTTTTTACTAATAATCCAGAAGTTTTCACCTTGTGTATAACTATAACTTGGTAAATGAAAGAGATATCGATGACGACTTGCATTACAATGTCTTCTAAAAGTTTTTGCGACTAGCAGAAATAAAGATCTATATATTTAAAATAAAATGAAAAGAGTAAAGGAATAAAGTTTGTGAGCTGATCTTTCTGTAGGCCTACATAGTAAAATTTGAAAAAATATATATCTAGAAGTATTTTTACACCATTGACATGAAATTTAGATCTTTTAGGAGGTGGCTTTGACCCTGCCTGTCCAGTCAACCCGAGCTGAGAGGGACACAACATCGTAGCAGAACGACCAAGATACTACAGTATAATCCACTTATTTGACAGTCGATGTATCGACATTTTGACATATCGACATATTTTCCAATTACAAAATTTTTCCTTCAATATCTTCACTAAATAATTCCTCTTATATACTTTTTTTCGACCCACTGTGCTTTATCAACATGCTTCCTGGGTACCTGGCGAAGCCCACAAACATAAATGGGGGGGGGAAAGCCACACTAACGGTCAACGCATCAGTTGTTCATTAAGTCCACATACCCGCCAAGTAGCTTATTCGACACATCAGGCTTTAGTAGTTCATGTAGGGCTTACCCAGTGTAGTCTCCAACACAGTACAGTGCCTCACAGATGTGAGCGTCTCGTGCGCTGGGCATCACCTTCCTACCCCTGGTCCCGATCGCTCACAGTCACTCCCCTTCCCCATCCCATTCTCAGCAATCTCAGTCTATCACTGACAAGTGCCTCGGTCAGTGAGTCAGTGCCTCGCCTTTCCATATTCCATAGCAAGTGGCCATAAATAGGCCTTACAAGGATGCTACAACAAAGTTTGCGGTAGTGTGCGCCTCGCGTTACTCGGTCTTTGGTAACGTAACTCGACTTCCCTCCCCCCCCTTTCCTCTTGTTAGTTTCACTGTGTAGTTGTGAAAGAATCAATGGAAGCAACCAACTCTAAAAAGTAGTGCTGTCTTTTTACCGCTGACCTCCCCTTGTTTTTTCCTCTTTGGCTTTATATTTTCATTTATCGACATGGTAATATATATCGACATCAAATCCACTTCCCAAAGCACTATTTTCCCCTTTAAGCTGCCAACTTATATCTATCTATCTATCTATCTATCTATCTATCTATCTATCTATCTATCTATCTATCTATCTCAGCGGAATGGTCTACCTGCACTGCGTGCTGCCCGACTCACGCACTGAAATCTAGATAAGAAAGAAGGTTTTATTCTGAGGTCCTTGACATTAGGCAAGTCAATTAGTAAAAATGCCTTCC